TTACTGGTATCAGCTAAAGATTTACGCCTGGATGAATAATATAAATCACATTCTCTCCCCAACTGATTTGGTTGGAACCAAGTTTGGCTATTCCAAACACTAATATGTTCCTTTGTTTTAGAATCCAGAGTTTCATACAACTTATCAGATACAATAAGATCACACAAGTCAATAACTTACAATAATAATTGAAAGTTGCACCGATGCAAACTGAACATGCAATTCAGATGAATGTCTCTGAGCATTTTAAATTGCTAACATTCACGCGGTATCGGCTGAAATTCTTTCAAGATTAGAGTTTTTAATTTATCATAATTCGCGATCTCTTGTTCAGAAACATACGTTAAAACATTATTACATTTATCACCTAATAAATTAATCAACACTTCTGATTTTAACTCCACTGGTATGCTTTTAGTAGTGAATGAAAAAGCTTTCTCAAGTGAATGAAAAAACAAATGCAGAGCTTCCGGTTTTCTGAGGTACAGCTATAGTTAGTGTTTTACTGCTTTTAATGATACCTTCAACACTAGTCTGCACGTTTCTTCTATCAGATGATAATGATTGTGATTTTAAATTTTCTAGCTCAATCTGCTTCTCAATTTCAGCTAATTTAAGACGTTCGATCTCTAACAGATAATGTTCATTACTTGTTTTAGGCATCCGATCCTTGACAATCGATTTGAGGAGGCCACGAACAAATTAAATGTTCGTTTTGAAGGCATCAGAATTTTGGATAATTTTTTTAATGTCAGCGTTTTTAGCGTTTTATGGAACATTCTCTCCGATTTGTTCCGCAATTACTATTAAATCATTTTTCTTTAAATTATTTAAGAAACTTATTTAAAAAACAAAACAAAAGTATTGCTATCTTCAAGAAAGAAATAAAGCAAAGTTTTCACAGTACCTTCTTTGAAGTATCCCAGTATTCCGGACAGAGCCCCCAGATTTTGTGTGGGTGGGGAGTTGAAGATGCTTTGCTAGGGTTCAATAAACAATTCCAACGTTTTCCACACCACAGACGACATTTAATGAAAATAACAGAAAAGGTACAGATTGAATTAAATACACGTGCTGTTGTGCCTTCTCGCACTTGTTAGATATAAACACAGTTCTTTAATCACTTTTAGAATCTAAATAGCAGCTTAGCGCCTACTCGCATTAGCTGTCGTATATGCAGTCAAGTTACCACCTTCACACGGAAACAGAGTTCATTATTTAACACCTTCACATGCAGACCTACAACTTACCACCTTCTCATGGAGACATCTTACCACCTTCGCATGGGATAGACGACTGTCTGTCTATACCATACTCCTTTTTTACCTCGCTCTCGCTGATGGCGCATAGGTGAGGCTCTCTGGTGGTTGTGTGGCACTTACGGATACCACATACATATAAATGAATATACAAACATAAATGAAAATATATATACAAATGAAAAATTATATACATACAAAATACATACAACGAAATTATACACAATGAAATATATACATAAATGAAAAATTAATTAAAGGAGTATAAAATTCAAATAAACATGTAAGCAGATAGGTAGTAGTTTCTTACAGATGTAAGTAAATACTTGTCTATAGTTACTAAATAATTGTCTATAGTGACTAAATAATTACAGATGTCTATAGTGACTAAATAATTGAACATTACATTGACGTGAATGGAAGAAAAAAGTAACAATCAGAATGACATAAACATTGTAGGCTTGAAGATAAGCAATAAAATCTGAGTTATTTACATGCATAAGTTGCATAACTGACTTCATGACGTTAAGAGCAGAATTAGATTTTGCCAATGTTCCCATGTGTTCTTGATCGACGAGGATTTGTTGGTACTGGACCCCATATACTATGTTTTAAATTAAAGTCGCCCCAGATGACTATTGGGAAGATCATCTGAATCATTTATTATTTCCTCTAATGTAATTAATATTGGTTCAATTTCTGTTCTTGGAGAACAATAGACCAAGATTTATATAAAAGAGGGCGATCCTTCTACTTTGATTACTGTTATTTCCTCCATTTGAGAATCTGAATGATTGAGTCTTACAATTATGGCAGCTTTTGCTTGGTGAGAATAGATCCTGTATTTTTGTGGAAAGCCACTTAAAACATTTTTAATGAGGTAAGGTTCTTGTATGCAAGCTATTTTAAAATTTGGAATATTTTCAATGTCAAATTTTAATTGTGCACTTGCACTCCGTGAGTCCTGTAAATTTAACTGTGTTATTTTAATTACATTTATAATTAATCTTTTTAATTAACAGATCCATTTCTCTTCGTTTACTTGCACAATTATTACTTACATTACTATAATTGTTATCCAAATTCAAATGATAATGCGTGTTAGCATTCTTGCAGTTGACACATTTTTCTTACGGAGAATTGCATCCTTTGTTAAGGTGTCCTTTTGCCACATTTGAAACACTTTTTGCATTGAATTACTCGAATATACTCACGAATGTTTTTGCTTGTCCAACAAATATTAACTTTTTGAGATTGCATTATCGACTTAAAAGCTGTGGGGTCAATGACGGACTGACAGACAAACATTACAGTTTAAACAAATAGGCTCATTTTCAGCTTTCAGAACATAGTTATGTGTCACTCTAGTGTGACCAATATTGAGGCGAGTCCAAAGAACTTATTCCTTACGATTTCTAGTTACATCGAAATACTTAATTCTAGGCTTTACATTTCACAACTTGTTATGAAGCTGAATGTCCCAAAGTTGTTGCATTTTTTTTTTTTTTTTTGATCTTCTCTTTGACAATACAATAGATGTCTCTAAAAGGGATGAGGTGACTGGACAGTTCAACAGCACATTTCGCTGTGATACCTGCCAGCTCAATCCCCTTTATTCCTGCATTCTCGGGACCCAGCACTACAGGATTTCATATCCACGACTCGTTAAGTTTATATGAATCTTGAGAACATCCACTATTACTGGATTTTGAGTGTTGAGAAAAGCTTCTAATGATCTAAGTGCACTATAGGAGTCTATATAAACTATGAACATTTTGTGGCAGAGCTTTGAGATGCAAAAATGACTATAATATATTGCAGTTAGTTCAGATGTTCAGACTGAGAAAGCATAGTGCAAGCGTCTGCCCTCCATGTGATCTTGAAGTACAAATGCCATCCTGATATGATCATTTGACTTGGATCCATCTGTATATACTGAAAGATAACTGCTATATTTATGCCAGTGCTCAGCAAAGAGTTGTCTGTAAATGGTCTTATTAGTGCTTGCCTTCACGTGATGGTTGAAAACATTAAGAAGCTGGATCCATACATTTTCCCAAGGTGGGATTTCTAAATTCTGCGCTTGGGGGTACATATCAAAGAGGGAGAGTTCCTCAATGATAGGGCAAACTCTTAAAGAAAAGGTAGGCATACAGGATGGACATGTTTCAAATAAAGTGGTACACACATTATCAAGTAAGGACAGCTTATTAGGATGTTCAAGTTGCGATAAAATATTGCAAAAGGAACAACTGCTCGAGCCTCAGATAAAGTCATAGCTTGTTAGAGTCAACATACAGGCTCTGGACAGGAGGTGTCCTGAAAGCTCTAAAACAAATCCGCAGAGCTTGATGGTGAACAGGATCTAGTTTTAAAAATACTGATGAACGAGAGAATCCATAAAGAACTGAAGCATAGTTCAGTCTAGAGCGGACATGTGCTCTGTAAATGCGAAGCACAGAGCAATGCTCTGCACCCCAGGAGGTGTTCGGCATGACTTCTAAAATATTATTTTTAAACACTTTTTTCTCAGGTTTAAAAAATGAGAAAGGAAAGTCAATTTTTGGTCGAATGTCACTCCTAAAAATTTTACTTCAGGTGCAACTGGAATAATTATACCATTCAGATATAACTCAGGCTCAGGATGGAGAACTCACTTCCTAAAAAGTGTGCACACAAAGCTTTCTGTCTCAAAAATGTAAATTCCTGTTTGTCTGACCACTCTTGGATCTTATTCAGAGCCATGTGCTATTGCCTCTATACGTATCATCAACATATAGAGATCTCAAGATGGTGGGAGGAAGTTCTTTCAATACAGAGTTTATTTTTAAGCTGATCAGGGCTACACAAGCACACATCCTTGAGACACACCCTCTTCCTGTTCAAAAACATCCGGCAAAACAGAGCTAATTCTTACTTGAAAAATTCTAATGTTAAAAAAATTCTGAATGAAAATTGGTAGGTCGCGGCGCAAGCCACTGTCGTGAAGATCTCGAACTATACTGTATCTCCATGCCTTATCATAAGCTTTTTCAAAGAATACTGAGACAAGGTGACTTCTTACAAAAGCTTTTCTAATGGATGTCTTTAAAAAGGAGCATGTTGTTGTCCTCCCCTTTTGAAAACTGCTTTGATAAGAAAATATAATATTATTCTTTTCCAAGATGTAGACTAAGCGGCTGTTTACCATTTTTTCAAACAGCTTGCATAATGCAACTCATAAGGCCAATTGGCCATTAGTTGGAGGGATTCCTTGGATCTTTCTCTGGCTTAGCAATAGGAATTATAACAGCTCTCCTCCATGCACTGGGAAAAATACGTTCCTTCCACACCCTATTGTAAAGAGTGAGAAGGGCAGTCGGTGACTTATAGGACAGATACTTCAGCATTTCGTAATTCACGCCATCAACCTGGAGAAGACCCATGTGTCTTAAACAAAGCTTTCCTTAATTCAAGCATAGTAAAATCTCTATTATAAGGCTTAAAGTTAGAAGAGTTAAAAGGGATGGGATTTCTCTCAGAAAGCTGCTTGATAGAAAGAAATACAGGTGAGTAATTTCTGCTGGAGGAAAAGGTATCAAATGTCTCACTAATAGTATTTGTGTAGGCGGTTTTCTCTCTGTGAGAAACTACAAACAAAGAGATGCATTAGAATCTCACTTTGAGGCCAAACCTTCAAAAAGGAAAACAACAAGGGCAGAAGAAAAGAAATAAGCACAGATAAGGAGAGATGAAACTCACCAAGAAGATGATCGTCTGAAGGGCTAGGGTACCTCAGAATTGCCACACCCGTACTTGCAAAAGTGAGCCCCTTAGGGGTATGTTTATCCATGATTTCTTTCTTAATTTCAATGGTCATGGCTTCCTTCGTTTTCTTCGCAGCCCTAGCTGAGGCAACAATCTTCTTGTGATGCATCATGAAATAATTATTTTAATGTTAAATGTAAAAAACAATTAACTAGCAAGCGTACAAACATGTATATCAAAGAACACTGAGTGATCAGATGAGGGGATTCCCCGAGATGAGCCGGATTGGGAAATGCTCAATGCTTACGAATGGCCTGAATCATTGCTCATTACTTGAGTCAATGTTTGTAGTTAGAGATGAATTTTTCACTCATAGTTTCCTCATATCTGGAATTGCTCGTGTATAGAGGTACTTGTACCTTGAGGTTCAACTGTATAACACATAAGGATGCTTTTGCACAATGAACATGTTAATCAATACTTTACACCAAAGTATCTATGCAGGGTGCAGATTTGAACCTGATGATGGCATTACTTATTTAAAAGGTAATAAAACTTTATATGGTTTAGATACACTTCATATACACAAGAAATTCAAACAGTTCAATAGAATTTTTAAAAGAAATTTTGTGTACACATTTTGAGCAAAACCCATGTTTATGAAAAATACATTTTTTTATATTTATTAGAATTTAATAATTGTAGTGAAGTGAATGAGATAAAATATTTAATTCAATTGTTATGGATAAAACACAACTACCCACATATAATTCAATTTAATTTGTGAATTTCACAAGCATTATTAAACTTATATTCGCCTGATAGTAAATTACAGTAACACAGAGAACAATTGTAAATTAGATCACTTCAAGGAAATGTTAAAAATATTACATGCAAAAATATGTAATTTATTTCTAGAACTTTTTATGCCAATAAATGCTACTCATTTTTTTTTTTTTCCATTACTCTTTTCCGTTCTCCTTCCCGTCAATAATTTTAAACAGAGATTTACTAAAAATTCACAATATGAATTACTGTACATTAAAAAATAGCATTACTTTGATAACAAGTATAAGCTTTACTATCTTGGCAATGAAGTACAGTAATTCTAGGTCTTGAATGACATTAAGGATAAGACAGTTACCAAACTGAAGTCATCAAAATGTATTAAGATAAAGTAAAATGTAAACATAAATAATTACATGAAGTAGTGACATACCTTTCCAGAAAGTGTCTTGAATGCTTCAGACATCCAAGGTAAAAACTCAATGAATAATGAATTTGTACAAATGACTTGTGATTGTTCTGAAATCAGCTGCTGTGCAAAGTTATTCCAATAAAGATCTTGGCCTTTAATATGAGGTATTATGTTGCTTTGATAAAAGAGACATTTCCTGAAAAACAAAATAAAATAAATAAAAATACGAGCATTATGACAGCAAAATAAAGGAAACTATTTTAGTTTGCAATTAGACTTATTTTCTCTCAAAATCAGAAATCCAAAAACATTTTTCAAATGAATTTATGATTCAATTTTTATTGCTGCATTTTATCACTCAGTATTCTTAATCACCAACTTCCATTTTTTTGAGTTAATACCTTTCCATTAAGTTTTGATTTTAATCTACAGTTACAATCACCTCTAAGTTTTTCAGTCAACATTTTCTATTATTTTATTATTGAAAGGCAAAACATTTTTTATGACATTAATGTCAGTGCATGGTTGGTAAAAAAAAGTGGAATGGTAAATTCTGTCTCACATGACTTTCATGTATTTGCTTTCATTGACACATTATCTCAATTACAACTTGTTTTGGCCTAAAAAGCTCAATTAAAGTAAATACATTACCTAAAACAGAAACACGAAGATTTCTATAAATAACAATAAAAAAAAAATTCCTCCCCTACTAATTAAATGAGAAAATATTTGTAAGCAGCCTACCACAGAACTTCAGAGTATTCTGAAAAAAGATTACCAAAAGTGCAAACTTAAAATCTTTTATTCTACGATACTGTGAGCTTACCCCCTTTTTTTCCCTCAATTTCAAAAAAAGATTTTAAAGTTGCATTTTTGTAAATATTCATACTTTTAAGCAACAGTACTACCATATTTCTTCACCTTTCCCGCCTGCTAAGTTTTTAGTGACAGGTTCTGAAAATTAAAAAAACATTCGCATAATTTTCCCCTTTCTCAATGTGTTTAGAGAACAAGCTTCCTTAAATTTTAAAATGGGTTTGTTTATGTAGTGACTGTTCTTCTCTTACTAACAAAGACCTGCAAAGGTCAAGGTGAACCCTTCCCTTCTAACTGCTGAATTTTTATGCTAGCCTAATACAAGAAACAGCCAATCACAGTGAAGCAAACATAAACAGACATTCAGTTTATGATTTCGTAGCAACTGCACACTCACCTTACCTAATTATTATGATTTGAGGTCTAAGGAGAAGCTGAGACAACAATAAGAATGGGAGAGATTCAAGTTGTAGGAAAGTAGAAATGAAGATGTCTTATTAAATATTGTAATGTTAATATTACTATGTATTCTTATTAGAATATGGATTTCTTTATGAGAAATAATACTGTGATAGTTACTTGCAGTTTATCCAGAATAACTTTTAAGTTCAGTACTTTCAGTTATTATCAGGTTTAACTGATAATAATAACAAAAACAAAAATTTAATATTATTTTATAATTAATGATGCCTATTATTTATCCAATATAAATGGAAATAAAATTTAAATTACATGCATAAAAGATAATACATTGCTATGCATAATAAATTATTATAGAGGACAATATGTATATACAAAGGTATTTTCATTTTCAAGAAATTGGGCTTGCAAATATGGTATTCCAGAAAAATGCTATCTAAATTTGGTTGAAATTTTTAATTCTTGTTTACATTAAGTCAACGCTGAACAAGAACAACATTTACAACTATGCAAAATGGTAAACTCCAAATAAAAGTCTATTCAAGAGTTGCCATTCTATATACATTAATATAATATAATATCATATTAAGTTATATAATAAAAATTCTATTTTAGAAAAGCAAAAGGCCTTAATAAGAGAGATAAAAAAATTTATAACCTCTTAAAAATACTTCACTATACCTGCACTTTCTGCATTTGTATTTGTCTCCATCACACATCTTCCCTCTAAATTTAGATAAATAGTTTTGTGGTAGTACTGCACTAAAATTACCACCTGAAACAAAAATGCATGAAGACAATACATGTTAAAATACCACAAATATGTCTGTAAACAAACAGAATTTTCTTATTCAAAACTTCCCCCCCTCTTAGCTTTGAATATTCCAAAATGATTTATATAATGGTTACTTATACGGGGTTCGTAGCCACATTTTAGTTAAAAAAAATAAGCACATATAAGCACTTTTTAAGCACATTTTAAGGAAAAAATAAGCACCTGTCTAATTACATTATACACAACTGCATAACCTTACAAGAAAAATTAGACTTGTAATTTAAAATATGAGCAATGCAATATTTATTAAGAGAATGGGCATTACCTCAACCATGGAAAACAATTAACTTTTTTTTTTTTTTTTTTTTAAATTTTAAATGACAGTTCAATTTACAGAATTAGTTTACAATGAGAGGAAAAGAAAACTATGCAGAAATAAACTATATTAGAAGAGTTAATGATGAAATTTGAGTTCAAAATATAGAAAATAAATAATAATAAGCCATATTAATTGTATTCGTTTGGCACCCTAATAATAAATACACATTTATTTTTTTTTTTCCACTCATATTAATATTTAAATAATTTAATTTAAATCAAAGTTCTGAACATTTTCTAAATTTTCATTGCATAACAGTTTTCCCTTAACATATATTCCAAGCAAAGTAATTCAAGTAAAAAAGAGGCACATTTCTGAAATCAGAAGACAGGAAATTGCTTCATTCAGTCATCCTTTAATAGAAAAAATTAACTAACCTGCATACTCGAAAATTGCCGAATATTCTGGATAGTAACTGGAAAAAGAGGAGTAGCGGAGATTGTAGGCGTTCTTTAGATTTAAATTTAGGCTAAATAAAGGATTTTGACATTTTGATATGTGCATCATATAAAAATAGACCAACGGAACTGAGAAATATTCTGCTTAGAAAGCACAGTAAAACTCTTTTAAGTGTTCATAAACAAATCTCAGACTGAACATCAAAATTGATTATCAAGGCAAAATACCGCAAACGTTATTGCGCAATATGTGCCGCGTAATTCTTCCATATGTGAAATTATGCAATCGGAATCAACACCTGCCGGTATTTGGAGAAAAAGAACTAAATAAAGGAACAGAAAGAGACTTACTAATCTGGGGTGTTTCTGATTCTAATTTTCAACAGACTGTATTAAATTTCCGGAAGAGAATCAATCTTCGCTTAGGTTGGGTAGACCGCAAAAACTTTTAGTCCTATTCAATCCAGATTGGGCAGTGACAAAAAAAAAAAAAAAAAAAGTACGCTGCTACAATATTAGAGATTTTGCGGGAAAACTCCCAACCTCCGTACTGTACAATGTATTGGCAAAAAAAATTAAATTATTTTGACTATTCGATTACTTTCCTTTTATTTAAGCCATTCCGAATATTATTCCTTAGAAAGCTAATCTGTGTAAAAACACACCCGTTTTTGGAAGTTTATCTATACTTCAGTTACTGCAACTATATTATTATAAATATTCATACATATACTCATAATATAAGCATAACGATCATAGTAAATACCAATATGAACTGACCACATGGAACAAGAATGCAAATTATTAAAATCTTGATAGAAATTCAAACGTGTATAGTATTTGGGTGGGAGGAAATGAATACGAATGTACCGGAATTTTCTACCGTTTTCGCAATTCTTTGACCAATAGAACGACGTTCACCTGTCTGTACTCTCGCGCGCACCATAGGTTACGTTAATGCAGAGGAAGGGAGGGAGGAAGCAATTTCTGGGAGTATGATTCACCATCTGACGTTGCATATAAGGAAGAAAAGTTGTTTGTTTAGTTTCGGCTTTGGTACGGGGAAAAAATGCACGTTCATTAAAAACAAAGGATTAAAAAAAAGCACTAAAAGCAAAAAATAAGCACTAAAAACAAAAAAATAAGGGCTTTAAAGAAAAAGTAAGCACCTATAAGGGCCTTTATATTTTATTTTCAAATATAAGGACTTATAAGCACTTGTAAGGACCGCTACGAACCCTGTTATAGGTTACCTTGAACCAAAAGGTACTATACCAAAAAAAATTGCAATAAACATGCTAATCAGTATCTGCTTCCCACTGTAACATTTTAATTTTCAAAATCGTGAGAAATAAGTCATTTTTCAAAGGGGATAAAATGCAGACCTATTGAAATTTATAAGCCTATTCACAACATACCACAACAATTAACTATTAATCTTGACTGAATGATTTTTTTTTTTTTTTGTTACACTGCAGACGAAAACTAGGATGAAATAAAATGAATCAGCAATTCTACAAACCATTCCTATTTTGCAGCACCTGAAGAAAGTGATACTCATATTGCTGGCAAATTTAATTTAGTATGCTTTTGTTTTCTTGCTTTTGGATAACTCAAAGTATGGCTTGGTTTGATTTGGTTTATTTTATTATGGCAAAGCGCGCAAACACATGGTATAATGCACTTATGTTATAGGTCTTTGGGAACATATGGTATTTTAAATTTAAAATATCATCAATTTCAGCATTTCTTAAAAACGTATTCCATGTAATCCTTTCAGTGTAAATCATTCAAAGATTCCAGAAAACCTACCTACTTTTTTCCCATAAAATTCAAGAAAATAACTTAAAAAAAAAAAAAAAAAAAAAAAGTAAAAACTAACCTTCATTTCCACTTAGTAATCTGGAGAGTCGAAGCATTCGAGTTGTGATAGTGCCCTGTATACAAGTCTTATTTTTTACAGCAACTGTACTGGGAGATCACCCAGAATATCGGTGTAGATGATTCTGCGGCTCATCTTTTTATTCATAGCTATACATGGGGAATCCTGTATACTTGAATACAAAAAGGTGCTGCAAGTTGCCTAGTAGCTTGTCGACATGTGTCTTATAAAATATAAATTGATTGAAAATTTTTCTTCAATTTAAAGTTTTTGCTTATTGATAAACTTCATAATTTTTATAGCAACACTTCATACATATTCTTTCTATAAGATCAGAAGTAAAAAAACACAAAATATCTTGGAAGCCATAATGTACATGGGAAGGAATTATAACCAGGATAGCAGACATTTAATTTTTTGATGATTACAAACAGATACAAGAGATCCCATTCTGCTCTATCAAAATTAAAATGCACAGGTCGTCCAACAGTATGATTTGAAGCTGACGTGACCATTCCTCAGCACACTTTGCAATGATATCTGCCAGCTCATTTCCTTGTATGCCCACATGTGCAGGGACCCAGCAGTAGAGGATTTGATACCCTCGACTTCTCAACTTCAGATTTATATTTTGAATTTTGTTAATTAATGTATTCCGAGCTTCTGAGATTGCTTCCAGAGCTTTTAGTGCACTAAATGAGTCGGTATAAATAATGAACATTTTTCTGGCATTATCTAGATATAAAAAAAAAAAGCGCATAATACAAAGCGGTTAGTTCAAAGTAAGCACACAGCATGCCTTGTGTAAGCGCTTACCCTCTGCATGGTGTCCAGTCACAAAGGCTGCTCCAACATGATTTATTGCTTTTAATCCATTTGTGTATAACTGCTGTACTCAAAAAAAGTTTGCTTATACATGATCTCGTTAGTGTTACATTTTCCAAGATGCTGGAATACATGGAGTACCTAAATCTGAACATCCTACCAAGGAGGGATCTTAAAATATTTCACTGGCTGGATATCCACCTTGTCTAAGCAATATTTTCCTATAAGAGAGCATACAATATGGAAAGAAGGCACACAATATGGACACGCTCTAAATAAGCGGTCACACATGTCATTAAGCAAAAGACTCTGACATGGATGATGGAATTGGGATATTATGCTGAAATAACATTGGAGAGACAACTAACTGGTCACATCTCACCTGGAGTGATGGTTCATAGCAGTCAACATAAAGGCTTTGAACTGGGGATGTCCTGAATGCTCCAGAACATATCCACAGAGCCTGATGGTAAATAGGATCTAGTTTCAATAAAACCGAAGATCGTGCTGATCCATAGACAACTGAACTATAGTCCAACCTAGAGCAGACAAGTGCTCTGTAGATATGGAGCAGAGAACCACGTTCTGCACCCCAAGAGCTGTTAGCCAAGACTTTTAATATATTTAATGTCTTGAAATACTTCTTCCTTAAGTACTACACATGTGGAAGAAATGTCAGCTTTCGATCGAAAAACATCCCTAGAAATTTTACAGATACAACTTGAAGGATGGATACCTTGCCTTCTGAAAAACTCCATGCAAACAGTCTTCCGTTAAGTGAATGGAAAACCATTCCTATTTGCGCATTCCTGAATGCTGTGTAGAGAGATCTGCAGTTGTCTCTCTATGTATCTCAAATCTGCACCTTGACAACTGATCTGAAGGTCATCAACATACAATGATCCTGAAACCGAAGGAGGAAGTTCTTTTAAAACCGAGTTTATTAGAAGGAAAAACCGAGTTCATTTTTATGGTGAATAAGGTAACACTTAAAATACAACCTTGAGGTACACCCTCCCTCTTGTTGAAAGCTTTTTGACAACACAGAGCCAATCCTCACTTGAAACGTACTTGTTTTTAGAAAATTCTGGATGAAAATCGTAAGGTTGCTGTGCAAACCAGTAGTGTGAAGATCTCGCAAAACGGCATATTCCAAATTTTTCAATCCGTCTTCCACTTCCATATTGTCTGAGTCTACAGATTCTGAAATATCATCAATTGAGCTATTGCTTATGCATTTATCGTTGGTTAATTTTGCGGAGGTGGTTTTTTGTTTGTTTCGAACTACAGTTTCGTGTTGAATGTGTTGGCTCTGTTTTGTTGTTTTTATTATTTTCGGAAGGTTGTTGAGTGTTTGATGGTTGAACTTTAGGTATGCTGAGATATGTTTGAATAGCAATAGATCTAGTTGACATTACGGCAGTAGCCAAAGATTTATTTAATCGTGGTTGTGAATTTTCAACTAACCTTCTGGCTTCAGCATACGATATGTTCTTCGTTATTTTCGTTGCCTGAACTTCCTTTTCATATTTCCATTCTGGACAAGAGCGAGAGGGGGTTCACCCTTGCAATTGACATACAATGGCACAGCGGTGCATTTATCGCTATCGTGACCACCCATCGAGCATCTGGCGCATATAAGGTTGCCATGACAGGATGTCTTAGAATGACCAAACTGCTGGCATTGGAATCCGGAAAAAGGGATATATATATATTTTTTTTTGCATTGGTTTGGGAATATATGGTTTTACGGGACAGTTCACATACCCAGCCTTTATATTCTTTGGCAGATCAGGCGACGTAAAGGTCAGGATCCCATGTTTAGTGTCAGTCAACTGACCTTCCTTTCGCATCTTGATCTGCCTAGCTCCACAAACATTTTGATTCACAAGCTTGGAAGCGATATCTTCTTCTGAAACAAACAGAAGGTCGATTTCCGAGATCACACCTCTACAGAAATTGAGTGCTTTGTGCGCTGACACAGTTATAGCTACATGTGCAAGTTCTGTTTGTGACAAAAGGGAAGCAGACTGGGTGGCCGATGCAGTGTCAATAAGCAGGTCTCCTGATCAGAGACACTTTATGTTCCTTGGCTCACCAACACATGATTGGATATATTTGCTTACTAGGAAAGGAGACATCTTTTGTAGTTCACCAGAGGGACTGGAAACAACAACAAAGCACAGACAATCAGTAGTTTCTTTGGCATTTGCACCGGTACGGATTTTGTTACTGATGGGTTTGTCAATGACTTCAACATCTTGGTTGGTTTTATTTGACTCAGGTTTTTCTAATATAAAAAGAAAAGCCATGATTGAAAGAGAAAATATTCGGGTCCGACGCCCCGGCCCACCACGGAGCCCAACAAGGGAACACAGATTCCTGTGTTAGGGCTAGCCGGACCTATATGCAAACTGAAGCCCCACAGTCGGCATTCCTGAAAGCAGGAACTCCCGAGAGTTTATCCTCAAGCCACTGACACAAGGACTAGTGACCATACGATTGACACCCGTGAGGACAACTAAGGTGCCTCCAGTTTAGCTGAAGCAGTGTGTTGGGGACAGTACCTCAACCTCAACTACCAGCACCCTCCTTTCCAGCGACATGGGTCTCCATGCACGGCAAACACATGAGCAGTTTTCTCGCCACTCAAAAACTAGAGACAATGGCTGTTCCGGTCTCTTGTGACGATCCCCAAACTCTGAAGAGAGAAACCACAAGGGAGAAGGAAAGTGAAAAAGTTCCAGCCAAGAGGAGAGGAGACAGAAAAGAGGATAGATCACTAGGGCTCCAGGATCCTGACACTCGTCTTACCAAGAAGATGATCCCCTGAAGGGCTAGGGTACCTCAGGATGCCACACCCGTACTCACAAAAGTGAGCCCCTTAGGGGAAAATAAAAAGTAAAAAACATAAAATAAATAAAAGAATTATACATCTGTTCTAAAACTTTAAAGGAGCTGCTCGTTAGTAGATGGAAAAAACTCATCCCCTCCCCGAAAACAGCTATTGATATGAAATACTTGATAGGTAAATATTAAAATGCAAGAAAAGTCAAATAACCATTCTAGATGAAAAGTGGAATACCCGGAAAAAGGGATATATAAATATTTAACTTCTCGATTTTTTTAACTTACAATCCAAGATTCTTATTTCCCCCAAAGAAGTTGCATACTTTCTCCATTTCTAAAGCTTTTTAAGAAAATGTAGCTATTAATTACTTCAAGTCAGAGTGTTTATTGTTTCAGATATAAAGCAATACAACAATCTTTCCATATAGTGCTGACATTTATTTCTTGTATTTCTCCATCCTTACTGGCAAGAAAATATGTACTGTCATTCTTTTTACTTGTATTTCTCACTACTGATGAAGCAATCTGCTCGATTTTCAAAATAATTGATTAATTCCGTTGCTAATTTAGTGCCTTTTGATATTTCTTATAACAATATTTACCCTCAAAGTAAGCAGCACGTTAAAACGAACAAATTTCTCTCATTATTGATATTTGTTATTATTAATACAGCAGATGAACAAATGAAGATATTTGTTTTTAAATGACTAAGCAACTTTTAATCATACAATTTAATTTTTTTCAACAATCTGAAACTGTTCACATAACATGAAAATTATTTCATGATCCAAGAATAAGCATACTTATACATGAACCCTAAACATCAATTCTTAAAAATTACAGAACAACTTACCTGATGACACCTTCCTTCCTAGGTGATACAGGGAAAATATTTTATAGTCAATGTTTTCTTCATCTAAAGTATTTTTCATATTCTCATACAACCTCAATTGAGATAAAAATCCTGCATTTGGACTGGAAAGGGAAAAGGCAAAAAGTTTTTAGCATACAGATACACAATTCCAAATATATAAAGATATCTGGTATTTGTTGGTTATCTGGTACCACCAATGCACCATAAACAATCTATTGGCAATTTCTGTCTATGAAATCTGGTTTTCTGATTTTCAGTGGGTATTGTCTGGCATTCATACTCAGAAAGTCATCAAACAGATTGTTATCTTTTGCAAACTGGACTCTGTCTCCAAAGACAAATGTTTATACATGGACACTCAAGATACAAACTTACATAGAAATAATGATGATAATAATTTTTTTTAAAAAAGTCATCTTTACTCTTCTTTTGAGAAGGAGGTACACAAAGAGAGAACTTTAACAACAAAAAAATCTCATCATTGCAGAAGAATCTAAAACATGTACACTTTCGAACACTCGCACAAAATTGCAGCCAGCACTGATATTTTGGGTGATGTATCAACAGGTACAGATAACCAAGAAATACTAATATCTATTACTAACACAATAATATGATCATTTCCCTGATTTTTAAACAGAAAAATCCAGATAAGAAATATAAAATAAAAAATAATTCTAAAAAGTATTTTTATGGTTCAGTATCATCAAGCTGCTCGGACAATTTTAAAAGTAAACAAGGTCAAAATTTTATGTTGTTCATAGTAAATGGATTGCAACAGCATGCTTTTTCATTTGGGAAAGGGAAGACAATCACATGAAACTACATGTCAAGCTGTAATCCAAGGTTGTATTAAAGTTCTCATTTATCATCACAATAACTTTCATAAATAGCACAAAATTGGATTTTCCCACCTGTAACATTTAAAAATGAAATTTCTTTTAGTGCCTTTTAAACTTTGCTTTGTTTGTATTTTAAATATATATCGTTATGATTTGGCTGTTTTAATTTTCAGCCATAAACAAAATTGTATTATGCTGCAAGATGTATTTTTAAAAGCTACTGTATATTATTTGAAAATTTTATGGCTATGCTATAACTAATGACCATTCACAATGAATGCTATAAAGCTAACTCCCTGTCTTTTTTTTTTTTTTTTTACTTTTATTCAGATACAATGCAAAACTTAAAAACTTCAAGCCTATGAATCTGTATCTTAATACCAATAAATGATACTAATTGTAATTCCAGTAGTGGATATAATATTAGTAACAGCTATTATGCTGAAAAATTTGCATCAGAGGTATATTAATTGTTCAGATGACAAGGTCATTTATTTTATGATATGATGAACTATGCTTCTCGTCCATCATGAAAAAATACAGTGAGGTTAAATTTGATCTTTAGTCTTTCTAGATTGGTTTCATATCTTGAAGAGATGTTTTAGATAATGGATTTTTTTATGGTCCACTGTTATCTTAAACATATATGTTCTTTTGTACTGGAGATCACCTTCGAAACTGCATTTTTATAGTATATCAGATTTCATCAGCTAGTCAAAAACAGGCATAAAAATTTTCTTGTAATATCAAACATCATTCTTATATGTGGTCTGGTAATAATGCTAACTAATATATGATACAAATTTGCATATGAATGCAGCCTATGAGAAAAATCTTTGATACATTCTCTGAAATAGCAGAAACTTCAAACAAACTCGGTCAAAAGATTCATCCAGTTACTAATTATTATACCAATAATTTAATTGTCCCATCTTTTGCCACAATATATAAAGTTAAACTTTTTAAATTGACTATCTAAGTTTTTTGTCAGACATTATAGCTGCTCTATGCGAAGCCTTTTCGTTAGATGACATATATCCACTCTATAACCTATCTCAATCAACGCAATTAAAACTTATTAGATATTACTAGTATGGGTATACAGATAATTCAGATTTTAAGTTCATCGATGTCAGATGGCATGGCAGCACAAAAAACAATAACTTTAATACCACCACAAAGGGAAAAAAAAGTGCTAAGATTGAGATCAGGCAAATTTGGAAGCTAGGTGGGAAATGCATTGTAATTTGCTTTTCTGGAATGAATATACACTTTGTCACATAGACTCTCACGAACAGCACTGGTATATGTGTGGTAAAGAAATAAGATAAAATTTAATTTGACTTAACACAGAAAAATATGTGCCAATTACATTTTTTGCTGTAATTATTACAGAGGTAATTTTTTTTTTATTTATCCTGAATACAATAAAGGTTTTATAAAATATTTTTAATCTGCTTCATTATTCTGAATACTTTTTTACCTGGACACTTTATATTGAAATTACCACAAATACCAAAGTTTATAAAAATCTCCATTTGCACATGATTTTTTCTTAATCAACTTAAAATAAATTAAAAATGATACTAGGCTGTCCAAAAATTTTGTACAGGTACATACATTTTTTATTTTTATTTTTGACCCCTGCTTACTGACGGTTAAACTTGCACATTTCCTTTTCAGGAAAACTGACCAAAATGATATGTTTCAATAATTAAGTTCTTTATGCTGAATGAAATGCCATGCAAATCATAAATTAATTTGGTGGGTGTAATGGATTAAGATTCTCTTACCTACAGCATGGTTTGCAAAGTGGATCAACATTTTCAAACAAGAGGAAACTTTCATAAAAGATGCACTGCAATCAGGCTGACCGATTAACAGAAATCCTGAATTTATTTTATTTGCCACTGAAGTGCATTACTGTTGATCTGATCAATTTTCATGCGACATGTAGCACCCATCTCAGATATTTTAAATAGAACTTTCATGAACCTTTTATATGAGAAAGGTCTGTATCCAGTACATCCCAAAAATTTTAGCACAAGCTCAACATACTACCCAAGTGGAATGTTGAGAGTTCATGGCAACCATAAAGCACCAATGCTGAATTTTTCTCAATTCAGCTGATGTCTGAGGAGTCACCAATTCATCATTATGACCAGCTGTCTAAGATCCAGGCCAAGGGTTGGAAGAAACATGGTGAGAAGAATCCAAGCATTCCCAACAACAGAAGTCTGCTGGCAAAGTGCTGATGACTTATTTCATGACTGATTACCAGCCAAAGGACAGATTGTGAATGATGTTTACTATGCTGAAATGATTCGCTGTCTGTGCCAATCCTTGAAGGAGAAACACAGTAGCAAATTGATAGCACAGCTGCTCACACAAGCAACACAGCCCAAGCAGCGATCCATATGCTGGATTCGAATTGCTGTATCACCTGGCTCTCACAGAATCATGGAATATTCTCATGTATCTATGTTTTCAATTATGAACAAGCATTCAGTGATTGAAGCTTTTGGCCAGATGATGAAATCACTGCATGTGTTCAAACATTTTTTAGATGACGAAGACTGGCTACTTTTTTCCTGCTGGTATAGGTGCTTTACCAAAATATTGGTAATGAGTGATTGATGAGCATGTATAACACTAAATAAATGTTATTAGACTTTTAATAGGTCTTTGCTTTATATGGAGTTATACAAACTTTTTAGAGAACCTGGTATATTTATTACTATTAACAAGCTTTTTTTATACAATTACATTTTCATAATCATAATGTTAACAGTTGCTTATTTAATAAACTAGCAGAATTATATTAGTTTTTGTTTCAAATGGCGAGATACTAGCAACTTAATGCATTCATCGGGAATGGCAAACACCTGTCTGTCATTCAATCATTTCATCACAGAGAACATTGTCCAAGGTGCACAAGGAGCAACCAAAATTACACCCATGGGAATGGAGAGATTTTGTCTCAGTTTCAATGGAAAACATCTTGAGAGAAGATCCAAAGGTCTTTAACCCCTCTTTCCCTACCATCAAATCTCTTTAAAGGTCTTCTGCTCCTCAATATTTTATAAATATCCAATTATTCATCTATAATAATTTTTAATATTTCCATGGTGCATACATATTAAGGCCTTCTCCAGGATTTGAACTCGGGGAAAATGACATAGCAACCAGCAGTAATAACTACTATACTGATCGAGATAGAAACTACACTAGAAAAATTAACATTTTAAAAAAGTTACAAGATATTTTAAATAGAAAGACATGCATGACAGTGCAAAATTCCTGTATTCAGTTTCTAATTATTTTATTTCATATTGTCACCAATTTAAAAAAGGGAGGTATTCGCCCCTGAAAATGATAAATCTATCGAATGAATTATTGTTTATCACAACCCATCTTGTTATTGGTTAATCACACACACATACTTTTCTAACTCATTTCTAATGGGGCATTTGGTGACCAAGACTGTAATATATAAAATTACCAGATTATCATTTTAAGAAAAATAACATAAAAACATTACCAATTTCCGGAAGAAACGCCACCGGCATCTACGTGTTTAAAACTTAAATTTTCAGCGGGTGCGGCGTTTAGGTGCACTAAAAATAAAATATTTCCTATGATGGTCATTGTACATTGTTTGGATGGCCTTGTCATTGTGCATAGACTGGTGCTGTTCCCACACAAAAGACCACTCAATTGCTTTTTGCGAACGTTATTTTGTTTACATTCTTTCCCTTGAACGGACCTACATGCCTTATTCACCCTAAACGAGATCTCAGAATAATAACATTCTTTCCCCTTTCAAATCAACATTCTCATCAGTTTGAATAGTCTCTCTCCTCTGCCATTCCATGAATCTTCCAGGACCCATCCTCTCCCCACCCCTGCCTTTTCTGCAATTTTTTTCAAAGGCGGACATGACTCCACCTGCCTCGCAATAACGAACTCTGACGTATTTCCCCTTCAGCATGAATGGATTTTTCTTGGCATTTTGCCAAATACAGATCCCATCAGTTTGGGTACAAGTACTTGTTGGATAGTTTTTAATTAGGGAGCGGAAAATTTTTGAAAATGTCTCTAAACGGCACAGAAGCTATACATTTCTTACCTTTAATTTATTTTTGAGTTATGGTTTCATTTCATGCATTTTCTTAACTGGTATGTCATATATCAGGACTTAGGTTGAGTTTTTGCATCTATACGGCCCACGACGATGTCACGCGCAATTTAATCTATTGTGGCGTTTCTGTGTAATTTTAAATTTTTTCCCGCCATTTTTCTCAAGTGCGGCGTTTACGCTGATGCGGCCTTTCTTCCGGAAATTACCGTAATTAGTTTCATAGGTACTATTCAGTTTTGAAGGCCGTAAAAAAATCGCCAAACTATTGTTGATGCCAGTGCTGCCAAAATAATTGCGGCAACCTTAATGCAAGAAAGGAAGTATAATAGTAAATAACTATACAAGATTAATGTTTTAATTTAGATGAAAAGTTAATTTCATATCATACATTTTTATTATTATAATTTATATAAATGGCTAAACATGAATGAATGGAAGCATAAGAGTAAATAACTATTTCAGATCATTATTATAATTTATATAAAAATTGCTAAACATAACTGAGTGGATGCCTGCATCGCTATTTCGCTACCAAGTTATTGCTAGAGCATAGTTTCATCTCGTTGGTTGTTCAAACATAATTTTATATAATGAATGATGCCTTTTTTATGAAAAAATTCTTGGTTAAAGTGCAGAATCGCCCACTTATTTGTTTGCTGCTTTTTACAAGGGTAAAAACAATTGAAATTTTTGTCAAATTTCTTTTACTTTTTAAGTGAAAATAGATGAATGTGTACATATATAAAGTCAAGGGTATGCACAGTGCCATTTTTGTGTAATTCTTGGATTTTTTTAAAAGTAAAAACATGGTCGATGTGCACATGGATACCGAGTATGTGTAATTCTTAAAAATGCATCAAGCAGTGGGTGATTCTGCACTTTACTCAAAATTCTATTGCAGACTTTTCGTAACAGGCAATTCCCAAATTGTTAAATCCATAGTATATCAAAAAAAGGATTTAAAAATTAAACTAGTATTTCAATGGCGTCTTAAAAAATATAGAACTATATAAACTTGTATAATCTGAAATCAGTGTGTATGCTAGGTTTGGCACGCTGTTAAATGGGCACGTTTGCTACATTTGGCACTTTTGCGCATACATTTTCGATGCAAATTTTTTATCAGTCCTTAAAAAACGGAATAGCACCATTTCATATTATAAAATGAATAGAACGTACCATGCACAATAACGTTTGTTTTTCACCTTTTGTAGAGCTTCATCAACACCTATTGAATATTTTTTCATGAGATAAGCAACAACAAGAGTGGCACTGCGAGACACTCCACCATAACTGCAAGAAAATTGAACACTTTCATTAAAAGTGAATAACGAATTCTATAAAACTGAATTTATCTCCCTCTCTCCAATCAAAATTTCTGATACAACATTACTATATGCTTAAAATTAGAATGACTGCTGTTAGTCAACGATTCTTCAAAAATGAGGAAAATGCTGGGGGCTTGAAACAGATAATTAATTTTTGTAATCCAGGTCTTAATTTGCCAACCTTATTATATGCGTACAATATACAGTAGGTGCCACTTAATGTAATCACATTTGTCCATGACTGTTTGAGAACAATACATAATGAGAAACTATCATTTAAAATATCAATACAATTTAACTATTTTAATATTAATATAATTAGAAATATATAAATAATTACATCCACAATAGGCTCTATTCTTATATACACCCTAATATCACCAAATGTGGCAATATGTGTTCTGCGCTGGTTTTTGGCACGATTGCGTGTTGTATGGCAACCCCGTTGACGTCGAAAAATCTTTTGCTGGAGTGGTTTAATTGCTTATTGGTTTGTGTTGGGTGTGTTTTGAAATGGCCTATGTTGCAATGATAGACGTGGTGGCAAGATTTCAGTTGCGTATTTTAGATTGTGTAGAAAGTAAATTTAGTATTAAAAGGTACGACGTTGGAGTTGTAAACGAGTCTTTTGTTCATGGATGTGTTTATGAGCACTGACGCGTATTTTTGGAATTTCTGTGGGACTTTTAAAACAGAGTCCAAAATGCGAAGCTGCTATGAGAATTCAGACGCAGAAGGGCATTTTTTATAGTTCTTGTGTGGATTTGCAGTCAAATGGTTGCTGGTAAAGTATATGGCTGTCACCAAATTTGGACTGCGGTTTTCGTGTAGTAAGTTAACTTTGGAGGAAGTTTTTATCGTTCCTTTTGAAACTTTGATATCAGAAAGACATGTGATATAGCAAAATCTTGGCACTTTTGCTCAGAAACGTTGTGTGACCGGTGAAATTTTATTCAGGAATGTACTATTATGGTAAGTGTATTTTATTTTACTGCTTTTATTTTACAGAATGTTATGTTCATTGTTTTTTTACTACGAATTTCTGTTGTTATTTGTTGTTTTTTGAATTGTTTGTAATTTAGTTTAGTTTATTTGTGCGCAATGCCAAGATTGTGCAATTTGTAGATTTTTTTTAAGTTTAAACAGAATGCTGTGTACATGGTATTCTTTGAAATTCATTGTTGTTACGTTAATGTATCGAAGCGAGGTGCGCATAGTTCATGGATTCTTTCGCTGCCTAGAATGTGCAATTTGTAGATGTTTTTTGAAGTTAAAACGTATTGCTGTGTACATGGATTCTTTTCAAATATTTTTGGTTAGAAACTTTACGGTTTTGCTATCTAAATTTTTTGTTTCGGATTTTTAGCTTAAATTGTGTCTTCAAAACGTGGTTTTTGCATTTGTGAAAACCGCATTTTTGGAGACATTTTAGGCTTAAAATTCAAAATGTAGACCAAAAAATTTAGGTAGTAATATGGCGGCGTGGAGTTTCTTTGGTGACCTGAGGGCGCATATAAGAGTAGTTCCCTACAATAATTCGATTACAGAAACTGTATGGAATTGTTATGCAATTTATGAACTGTTTATATTTATTATGTTTCTGAAAATTATTTGACCGGTGCTGTACCTCTAATCTTAATACTCGTAGAGCATCCTTCATTTCAGCATTTGTAAGAAATTCACCTATTTCATCATCTTCCGAAAGTTTATCACATGATATGCTTGAATTTTTTTAGCAAATACCTGATAAATATCTTCTATCGCTGAAGTCTCAACTTGAGTTTTTCATCAATATCCATGCAAGTATTAAATTCTACATAATTCATATTAGAGGGGAATGCTGTTTTTAGTTCATTATTTTCCTCTATTTCATCATTTATTAAAAGGCTGGCATGCTTAAAACTGTTCGTTGTCTTTTCCAAGACCACATCAAGAAAGATTTTCCTTTTGATTCATCTGCATTTATCCATATTATATACGTTATGAAAGACTTTTATCGCTCATTTCATAGCAATAACATTTTCTCGTTGTTCTAATAATCCCTTGATCATCTTCTGAGGTATTTGCTGGCAAACATATCACTTCAATACACTTAAGGGCAACATTTACATTATGCATTAGTCAGTTGTCATTAAGAAAAAGGATATGTACTTCACTTCATTATTAAAAGCTGCTCATTAAAAATTGCTGACACATTTCTACACCTTTGAATTATACCTATAGTCCGTCAGTTCTAAATCTGAAATGCCCCTTTTTCTCTTGAAATCTCACAAAATTTAAATGTAGGCATTTGATATTCATTTCGATAACAAATAAAATTATTCTTTTTATAGCTTTAGACATGAAACTTCTCCCTTCATTTATTTAGCTTTTCTATCATGAAATGCACTTTTACGCTCAATTATCTGGAATTTCCACATTTCAGGATTTCAGCATTTTCAATAGTGGAGCTTTTACCGTATTTGAAATCTCAAATGAAACTAATTTAGATAATTCTATTTACAACATTTCCGATTTTCTAAATTGTTAGGTTGGTTGGCTAAAGTGCAGCATCCCCCACTTATTTGTTTGGTGTTTTTTACAAGAGTAAGTAGAATTGGATTTTTGTCAATTTTCTTCGACTTTTAAAGTGAAAATAGGTTGATGTGTACATGGATAAAGGGAGGGCACAATGCCATTTTTGTACAATTCTGGAATGTTTTTTTAAGTGAAAATAGGTGGACGTTTACATAGATAGCGAGTATGTGCAATTCTTAAAAACACATCAAGCAGTGGGCGATTCTGCACTTTCCCCGGTTGGTTAATCATAGTGATGCGAATACAAAACGGTACTCTTCTGTTATCGGGACCGGATTCAGAAATGCGTGTATGGATGCATAATCAATTCATAAATATTTTTTAGAAAATAAATTATTATGTATACATATGGGTGTACACATATACAGTCAAAAGTCGTTAATTTGGACACCCATAATACGGACCTCAAAGCTACAAACTTTCTGCGCATGTGTCTACGGCTGTGAATACGTGTGTGCGCATGCGCATAATACGTTTACGCATGCGCATCTAATGTATAATGGTCGGTATAAGCTAAGCTAAAATTATCTAATTCAGTTAATGTTGCAGATTGCGTTGTTCCTTAATCTTTGAATTGGATGCGGCTTATTATTTTTGCAGACTGTTAGAGCAATTTTATAAAAGTAAGCTTGAACTTTCGATTATGTCAAATAGAATTTCCGATATATATTTACTAATATGTAAAGGATCTACAAAGCAAAAGTATGTTTCATGTCCATCAAACAAAAAGTGGAATTGCTGCAAAAAATTGGTAAAGGCATATCCTTTGTTTCTCTAACAAATCCGAAATCTGTTTATCAATTTCAGGGGGACATCGTGGCGCACAATCAACTGGAAGCTGATCTGTCAGCATTATCCTTTTCTTCAGGGCAGATGTTTTTATTTTATTCAGCTTATAATTCCTTACTAAGTGTAGTATTTCATCTCGACGTATTCCATCTTTGATATGATTTAAATCAAATTCCATGTCATTATAAATATCACGAGTACACATCAAATAGTTTTCTGGTTACAATTTTTCTAATTTCGACTATGCGTAATGTATGCTTTACGCATGTGCACGTTGAAAGAAATGTTTGGCTAATCTTTAGAATATGGTAAGAGGTAGTTTGATGACATTTTGGTAAGGCGATAAAGGTTACTAGCTAGGACTTTAGCAGTGTACACGGATAAAGTCAAATGTGTGCGCAATGCCATTTTTGTGCAATTCTGGGATGTTTTTTTAAGTGAAAATAGGTCGACGTGTACATGGATACCGTATATGTGCAATTCTTAAAAAGGCGGCAAGCAGTTCGAGATTCTGCACTTTATCCCAAATTCGCACCTAATCTTCGTCATGATTAAGTACTTTTGTTCCATAAAAGTTCTAGCATAAGCGTAATTCGGCTAGCAGATTGTTGGAAAAAAAATGCTGAAGGGGGAAAAGAGAAAAAAAAAAAAAAAAAAAAAAAAAAAAAAAAAAAAATACACGATGCCTTTACTTTGTGAAAACAAAATGGCGTCCAAAACAAAACTAGCAGATTGCTGTAGCAGGGTTGGTCGCCAAAAAATCGCCAAGTTACCATAATCCAAAGATTAGCATGTTTAATAAAGTAAACAAATCAATATTAAGCTTTTTTTTTTTTTTTTTTTTTTTTTTTTAAATTCTGATACCCTTTAATTCATAATTGCTCCTTATTTCATAAATTATGGTTTCATATTTTTAATTTTATAATTTCTGCATGCCACCTTACCAGATTTAAACTGATGATCTATAATCCGGAAAAATCGATAATCCGAAAGTGCCGACGAGTCCGGATTAAAGACTTTTGACTGTATATACATAATCATGAATATATAAACATGCACAAATTTATTCATGATAATTTGAGCTTAATGTTACTGATAGACAATAAAATAAACTGAATGATAATTTAATTCTGGCAACATCTGCAATTAGAACATTGTATGCATTCTGATGTATCTGTGCTAGTGTTATTTTTGTTTTGGTGACAATAGAAAAAAAATCAGCAATATAAACAATTTTGAAAAGAAAACAACTCATTTTCATAAAACAAATATCTCATTTCATTTAAAATTAAGCACTGTAAACTAAAAAAAGTGTTATATTTTGATCCATATGCAAGTTGACGCCCTTCAGAAAATAGTTCAAGACATTCTCTGAATATGACCATAAAATTTATTTGCTTCGGAATAAACATAATATTAAGCTGTTGGAAAGTCCATATGTTAACATCTTCTTTGTTAAGTCTTTTACTATTTAGTTCATACATTCTGCAAGTGATGCATATTTGAAATGATAAAAATGAAATAATAAAAATTGTTAAACTGAAATGCTAAATCTCTCACATTTCTATTCATTATACAATTATAAATGCGTAATACGATAGAAATCCACATTTTAAAACAGTTCAACAGTCCTCAAAGAACTGCTCACTTATTTCCAGCTAAAGAAAAGCGAAATACAAGTGATATCGAAAATCGCATTAATTTGTAATCATTATATAGTTTACAAAAAAATAACTATATTAAAGTTTTTGGTTCCAAACCACCATTCACTTACCTTTACAAAAAGCTAATACGTTTAAAACAGCAACTTTATATCATGCAGACAAATTAGAAAATACTACATAAGATACTCATTTAAAAAGCAAAACATTATACCAGTGCACAAGGCAACCGCCTTTGTCTTGTCCTTCTTTAATAAACGCATTTGATCTTTCAAAACACGATAAAATGTCACAGTCTGGGGAATCTTCCAAATCAATAAACAAAGTTTCGATTTCTAAGTTCTCAGGTTTGGTGATAGGAAACATATACACTGTCAAAACATGAGTGATGCCGAAGCATTTTAACGTCTCTTCGCTTTCTGCTGCGTCAAGATTTCCTAGGAATAACCTCGATTCAATTTCATCGCACTCTACCATAGACGATCTCTCGAAAATTTCAAACGAACACATAAAAATTTCTAATTTAAAACGTTAAAAACACACAGCACGAATCACCCGACAAACTCTGCCTGTAATATGTCAGTGTCAATTTAATGGTGATGTTGCCAGATTCCTCAATTGATTTTCCCCCCAGCCTTAGGTAAAATTATTCCCCATATGTTTTGAAACAATTTCCGAGTCTTCATACATATTTAAATGTAAAATGAAGTCCCTTCCCCTCTCCTCCAGGAATACGCACAGTCTTATTTTAAGCAATTGTTTTCAATATTTAATTTATATTGCAGTTATTATTCTTTTTTAAATGACGGAAGTTGATATATATTATTCCCTGTAACTAGGGCTACGTACAATTCTGTAAGGTATTTTTCACATTGGCCATCCCGCCGTTTCATAAATATACCAATTTGTCCCGTTTTAAATGAAAAATATGTGTGCTTGTGTTTATCAGGCAGTCATTTAAAGTTATTGAAAACTTTTAACCGTTTACTAGAAATTTAAACAAGTGGAAGTTGAGAAAACTGAACTGCTGCACCATTTCCCCACTCTGCTGCAGTTCTAATAATTAATTTTTAGAATCGAAAGTACGTGTGCAGTTTCTATAGGAAAATAGCGTCCCACCTTATTGGTTGTTTCATTTCTACAGCAACACCAAAAACATGCTTCATGGGATTTACTCTTTTTGTCACGTCATTCTCAGGAAAATTATCCCGTTATGATAGAAGAAATGCTTGGGGATCTTAGCTTGAAATTCTGGTTGCCATTTGAAAGAGATCAAGGGTCTATGATTTTGTAGTGAACGCATTTTAATTCAAAAGAACTGCGCTGCAGTCACTCTTTAACCCTTTCCGTCTCTCCCACTACGTCAGTAAACGGGGGCCGCCGGCGCACCTGTGCCATCTCTTGCTAGAGTTTGCCATGTGTAAAAATGTTTTGTTTAGCAAATAAATATCGTTTATAAAAAAGGGATTAGCGTTTATGTCATTACACCTCATCTGCATCATGACCACAACATTGGCGACCAGGAGATTTCTTCACACACTCCTTCGCATGCTCTCCCCTACACAACCTAACAGACACAACACACACATGCCAACAAAGTTCTGTCAACGATGCTTTCCCATACATCAACGGATCCAATTCAGCACTCCTACACACTGCAGCCGCAGCCCATCAATCAATTACATGAACGCACTAAGCTCATAACCATGCTCACAAAGCGGGCTTAACCAACAGCTACTAATCGTTTCTCCTCATATCATATCAAAAACTGCTTGGTGTAAGGATTTTGAGAACTAATCAAAATGATCGCATTACAAAGCATTTCGAATATCAGAATCAATCGCACGTGAGCTATTTTGCAACAACGGTATGATATTTGACTGCCACATAACAGAACTGTCGGGATAAAATCCCAAGCTCATTAGCATCTTGAAGGGCACGCGAAACCCAGTTTCTGCTGCATTTCCCATTGGGGATAATAGACGGCAACAGGACCAAGCAGCACCAAGTGAGCATGCCACGATGTGACAGCTACAATAAAGAAATTCAACACATGCTCGGAGATAAAAATGCACGGATAAAAAACCATTGGTATACGCTTTCAGATAAAAGCCTGATAGATATTCTCCACGTCAGCTACATTATACATCTCAATTTTCAACGGATATTCGACATCTAAATGGCAAAAGTTTCATTGCTGATACATTATGTAGGATAGAGATCAATGTTATCTCACACCCACCTGCTCTTTATAGTAAAAAATTTGCTGACCAGCAATATCACAATACTGAAGTGCAACAACTTCTTCACTCAAATTCATCACTGAAGTTGGAAAAACGTTATTTTCCACTGGAAAACACATACTTGTTTTATGATAAATCAAACCAGCATCTCCGTCCTTTCGTTCTTAAATCTTTTAAGCAACTAATTTTCTAAAATTTGCATTATCTTTCGCACCTCAGAATATCAGTTACCACTGATTAAATTCTCAAATGGTTCGTTTGGCCTGGAAAATTCGATGTTGTGACAAATGTCAACGAGCATGTCTTCAAGCATACTAAAGCACTAATTAGCACATTTGCTATAGCTGACGAGCGTTTCTCTCACATGCACCCGGACCTCTACCATTCTCGGATGGTAATCAGTATTGTGTGACCATCACTGATAGACTCATTTGATGGCAAACTAGATTTTATTTCCTGATTTTTCTCTCTCTTTCACTTTTCCTGATTTTTCCCTTTTTTTATAAATATGAACCTGGATTTTGAAGTTATTGCAATAAAATATATAGAATCATTCTCGTGAAAAGAACTTGAAACTATTCACTCAGTTAGCAGTTAGAAAACGAAACTAAAAATTTTAAAATAGCTATGGTTTTGGTGGTCAGAGCTTAATTTCTAAAATTAGAAATGACGGAGCCTTATGGAAGGCCACCAGGGAAAAAGAACTAAAATAAGTAATAAAACGGTAAAATAGTTAATGAGTAAAATAATTAAATGACAGTTGAAATAATTAGATAATTAAAACTAAAATTGAATAAAATGTATTGAGATAAAAACACTAAATTTATTATATTAATTATAAACAATTAAATGATTAAATAAAATACCCAGCCTCGTCTTATTTAGGTTTCCTGCTAGAAGTATAATTTTATTCAAAATGTAAAAATTAGCTCAATCTTGCTTAGGATTAATTTTACAACCTAAATACACAATATACAACGCATTATTTCATGGGATGATAATAACAAAGACAATTGCTGTTCAGCACATCCCCCTCCCTCCAAAAAAAGGTAAAACGGTTAGGACGTCCCTATTGAGAACAGTGTCAGAGTATAGAAGAAATTTAATTGTTTAATTGGAGGATAAATAGGTTCGAAAATAACGGGATAAAAAGACCAACATTTTCTTACAACGGTTCCCCATACGAATATAATTCTAGCTATCAAAGAGAACGTGGTAAGAAGAAAAAACTCCTCCAAATCCGATAGTTCATCTGTAAGCTAAGAACAAACGTAAGATTCCGCATAAATGATCGCTTTCATCTCCGTATTTGGTTACATCATTCCAAAAAGTCTGCAGGAAGGATTGATTACTCATAAAATTTATTCACTCTCATAAATTCATTGTATTTCCTGGAGTATTAACTCTTGACATGACGGGAGAGGCTTTTATTTTTTGAAATGTTTGAAATGTCTCAAACTTTCCGGTGATTCCTTGACATGACGGGAGAGGCTTTTATTTTTTGAAATGTCTCAAACTTCGTCCAGTGATTCCCCCAGGGAAAGAATACGCGTGTATTCAGAAGTTAGAATCGGATTTTAAGGTTTACTTCTTATTAAAGTAAAATTTTCGAGATCAAAAGACTCTTTTTCCGAAATTGTGGTTCAGTTACGTAAAAGAAGGGCCGTAGTCGTACTATTTAAAGCTCCTGCGCAATTTAAGCTCTGTTGGTGATATTAGAAAAACTATAAAATTTGTGCCTCTAGATTCTGAGAATAAATGGTTGGTTGGCTGGTTAATTGACTACGGAAAAGCCCTCCTGAAGTAGTAGAAAGGAGAGGAAGTAGTAGGAGAAAGTAGAAAAGGAAAGAAAAAATGGATAGCCTAAGAGGAGTGATATCAGACGATATTAAAGGACGTAGCAGCCATTTTAATCAGTAGCGGTATGTAAATTAATTGTACGTAATTTGCAATATAATAAGATGTTAAATCATTTGTTACAAGTAAATTACTCAGTCTTAAAAATACAGCAAATGAATAGTCATTAGTTTTGTGTTTCACATTGATTCTGTAGAAAGAGAAGGGCAGTGTAAATAAAAACAAACCATATGTGCATCGCGATGTGAGGAAGGGGCACAGGGAACAAGTAATATAAAAAATAATTTTTAATGTCAATTCCTACTTAGGTCAACAAAGAAAAATTTTAAAACTACAATTTTTTTTAAAATAAATAATAAAAAAAATACAAATAAAATAAAAATTAACAAAAATTTTAATATGTGAAAAAAACTGTATTAACATCAAGTATCATCCACTACAAGTTTAAAAAATATATTTGAACTTGAGTGGATGAATAAAAAGTATTTTATTAACGATTGAAAATTAAATAAAATTTAAGTCAATTCCTACTTAGGTGAACAAAGAAAAATTCTAAAAATAAATAAAAAAGAGAACGAGAGGAAAAGGAAAGAAAAGGTGCTCAGAGAGAGAATATCGATTTAATTTAAGTAATAATTTTGTACATATGTAAACAATTGTAGTGAAATTATATGATAAATTGTAGTGTTTTTTTATGTAATGCAACATGAAAAATCGAAAGAAGAGAAGCTTTGACGGAAAAGTAAGAATACAGGGGACATCCATTTAACATTGAGCTTTCTCCCTAATTTGGCGAGATACTGCCAAACTGGAGATGGTTTTCATGACTAATTTTTGCCACCAAATTCGGCGAGAGATCGGAAAAAGTTGCCAAAATTGGCGACATTTGGCCCTCTATGACTGTAAGGAGTATTATAATTGAACAACTGTAATTGATGCTAAATGTAGCTCTAACCGTATCCGGCCCTCATATGCCTTCCAGTAATTTCAAGAAGGTACTAGAAATCTGTCGGCAGTCGGAAGAAACCTGTATAAGACCTGGGAAAGCATCAGGTTCTGAGTACTTGCTGTTTAGTTCAGTGTGAGCTCGAAGTATTGAAATATCTCCGTGTTAGATTCGTTCTTTAGATGCGCTTTGCATCGCGTTTTGTATAACTTTCTTACTACTTTGAAGTATAACTGCTGATTGTGCTCTATGATACTATGAAGAGTTGTGCGAGTATTTTTTTTTTGAAAGTTTTAGAGTTGTAAAGTGTTTATTTTGGTAAAATATATTTTATCAAGCTATTGTCAGTTCTTTGTGCATTCAATCTATTACATATCCGTACGCACGCCACAGTATTAACTTTTTCTTCAACTTAAATTATTTGAATATGCAGGTAAATGCTAATCGTGTTTTTTTCTTAATTATTGTTGCGAAATGCCCTTCTGCAATAAGATAGTTTCCCCGCAAAGCGGCGTTAGGGTTGCTAGAATGTAGCAAAGAAAGGCAGGGTTGCCAAACTTGGTGCGAAATCGCCCATTTGGCGATATGCCATGGACGGAGCGAGAACATTCTAGAACGAATTCTCAGCGGTTTTCTTGTAAATATTCTGGAAGACAGGTCAAGAGCTATATATACCCTGCCTGTATGCGGAATAGAGAGTATCTTCAGTATGTTGAGTTCAATAATAGTGTCTCGCGTTCAGCTTGAGAGCGATCGACCGAGTCGGTAGCTGTACTTTAGTGCTTTGCGTGAAGCTGTCTTCACCGTTATAGCCTGATAGCCTGAGTTGCTGATTGTTTCAGTAAATTGTAGTAATTTCAGTTTAATTGTAGTTTTTCGAAGATTTTAAACGTGTTCTTTGGAACTCTCCTGTGTAATAATTTGTATTTTGATTCTTCATCGAGTGTTATCGTCAATTACTCCAAATCCACGAGAACCCGTAGAACGCAACATTATTATACAGGTTATTTCTCTTTTCTGCGCCATTTTAATTGCATTTTTTTCATAATTTTAAGTTAACTGTGGATGTCGTACCAGGTAAACGAAGAGTTTATTTGCAGAGTCATTAGGCTTTTTTTTTGGGGGGGAGACGTGAAAAAATATGCAATGCCCTCGCCGAGATTCGAACCTGGACCTCTCCAATATGGGCCGAGTGGGCCACCGTTAGACTACGAAGGATTGCTGGAAGGAGGGAGAAAATACATTATAGACTTCCTGTATTGTTAGAAGCATTTTTATTATGTTATTTTGGTTTATCGACTACAAATCGTAGTTTTCATTAAAGTCATTTGGTTGCTAATATTTCCATGTTGATTTGTTTTGTATATAAAGCAAGAAAAAAATTGCTAAATAAGAATCGTAGTTGTTGGGCAATTAGATTTAATATGTTAGATATTATACACTTACTGCTACATTGCCATTGGGTAAAAAATTCAAGGCCGCAAATACAAAAGATACTTTTTCAGTTAAAAAGAGTGCGTTTCCGAATATCAAAAATATTTTTTTAACAGTTCATTGATTTTTAGGCATCAGTAAATTTTTCAAGAAATGAAACAAAGTATTTTTTTAGAAATTTTTATTTACATCAAACAAAATGTGAACCACTTACATTCATAATTCATCACAGTTTACTTCCCGAGAAAAGAAATAAACTTTGAATGATTCAGGTATCATAAAAAGCACACATTAGTAAATTAAGACATTTAAATTTTTTTATCCACTCTCAGTCGCCGAGACTGACTGGAAGTAGATAATATAATACGAATAGAGAATAATAATAATAATAATAGAAAAAAAAAGCTAGCATTGGCACGTTTAAAAACTGCGCAGTGGCATTGTTATGAAACCAGGGTGTAAAGTCACATCAAAGCTTGAAATTTTAGATAATGAAATACAACTTTAAAACATGAACTCAAAATTTTGTTTCTATCACAAAACTTTCTTGCAAGCTCTTGCTGCGCAGGTATAAAAATATTAATAATAATAATAATAATAATAATAATAATAATAGAATAATATTTCATTATAAAAAAATAATAATAACTTAAATAATATTGTTTCACAAGCTGGTGCATTGAAGTCGACTCGCTCGCGTAAAGGAATAGGAGGAAATCTCATAAAATGCATGTAGAATTTAAGTATTTCCAATTTAGGAATGTCTTACAATCTGATGAAAGGTGCAAGTATTTTGCTTAGATGGAATGTACAGAAGATGGATGGTCCGAAGAACTTTGACTGGAAAACACAAGTCGGGTTTCTTGAAGCCCTAGGTTGGCATTAGGACTTTTCAACCTTGAGCTTTCTTCAGTGCCTTCACGTCAAGATCTCCGTAGTAGTTCTCGCTAAAATCAGATAAATAACAATTAATTTAATTCTTTACTTAACTTCATCATAAACAAAAAATGACAAAGGAGTAAAAAAATATTTAAAATAATTAATCATGGTAGCAATCTAAAATTTCATTCAAATACACCACTTTTGTTTGATTAAAAAGATTAATTAGTTAATGCATTTTTAAAAAAACAAACTGGCAGAATTATATAACTAGAAGGAATTAAAAACGAAATAATTTAAGAGACTATAAACAATTGATAAGTACAGTTTATTAGTTTCATAATTATAAATCATTCAAATAATAATTAAAACTAGAACAAACAATATATTAAGAATAAACCGAAAAACTTCACATACATTTTGATTCTTTCATTTTTTGTTAAATATATTTCACTTTTTTCTCATATTATTAAATGCAAATTCATTTTTAAATAAATTTCCCCAAAGAGGGAGATTTAAAAAAAAAATAACCACTATATTTGCTTTACTAGTATGGTATGCATAAACTGGAGACAAAACATCTCTTTATTTTTAACTTAACTCCAACCACATTAAGTGCAACTAGGACAAGAAGACGAAAGCTCCCGTGATTGATTGAGCAGTCACTGATGCACCTTACTGCATTACATTTACTTCTTGCAGGTTTGATTTGGTTTAGTTGATTATGGCAAAAAACACAAGGGCTTACACATGAGAAAAACCCCCAAACGCCCATGCAGCCAGCGCGTTTGCCTGGAATCGAACCGATGTCGGAACTAGCAGTGTTCAGCGATTAAGCGTTCGGCCGCTAGTGGGCATTTCTTTCAGGAGTAACTTTTTTGAAAGACCCCAATAAACTTGCTGAGCGATACACAGGCTTTCCTTATAACTTCCGAAGGCTGCTCTATGGTTTACATCAAGAATATCTGAAAACGGAATACCCGAATGTTTTCAAGCGATAGGCTATCTCCGCAGTTGTTTGCTGACTTTATAGTTCCAAAACCCCGGCACACAACTCAAACAGCTACTGTGTAACTATCTCTATGCGACTTTAATTCTTTTATCGCCATATTAGGTTATATTTCGATTTTCTCTCGTTCATTTCATCTTTCCTCATAATGATAATGATAAGTAATCAATATGGAATTGATAATGATAATGATAAGTAATCAATATGGAATGGATTTGATAAGTAATCAATATGAAAAAAAAAATAAAAATTCTACTGACCATCCTGGAACATTTTCTGGTTCGTCACACTGGAGACTGTCGACATTGAATACAGTTCCCAGACTGCATCCATAGGGTCTGGCTGTTCCTTCGATGCATACGTAGAATTTTCTGCAATCAGTGGGGTGAGCATGGCGACTGTAGATACCTGCTTGATCAACCTCAGATGGGTCGGGGCAAACGAATCCTTCAGCAACTTCTACAAATGGCAAAAGGAGAAAAAAGGTATGAATTACATTAATCCACTCTTACCATGTTCAATAATCCACTACTCTCTTCTGTTAATATATTTAATTGTATTGTTAAATACATTAAAATGTAATTTACTATGTTCAAATTAAAGGATACTGCAAAATTAGTACTAGTATATTTAACAATACAACTCATACACCTCGATTTACACGATTTTGGATATTATGAGTGTTGACTAAGAACAATTCATAATGTAATATACTTTGTTTAAATGACAGGATTATTCGAGATTCATATTAGTATATTTAACAACTATAGGTACACATTGATTCACATAATTCCGGATACTATATGAGTATTGACTAAGAACGCTTCATAAGATGCCGGCATCTTTACGCAAGTCGGCTACTGTTCAAAAAGAAGGAAATCTTCATAAGGATACCACGACAGAAAGGTGTCCGCAGTTCTTACGAAGATCACTTGAAAAAAGCAACCTCCATGAAAAGGTTAGGTTAGGTAATTTAATTACAGCGAAGCCTCGAGGGCTATCTGCCTAAGGGAAGGGATGCTCGTGGAGGACTTCTAAGAAAACTGGCCGTCTACACGGACACATGGAAAAACCACGAAAACACCCATGCAGCCAGCCCGTTCGCGAGATTCGAACCTCGCACCGAACTACCAGTGTTCAGCGACTTGATTCAGCGAACTACCAGTGTTTAGCGACCACCGCTCGGCCGCTGGTGGGCCCATGAAAAGGAGAGCTGTTTTATTCGAGGCATCCCAACGCAAATATGTATAAAATGCTCTTGTATACAGTCGTATGCGCGAGAGGTAAAACGCAAATACAATACATCGATTAATGAAAGTGAAACAGAGCATGAAAGTTAAATCTCTAAATATGAATAAACATGAAAGAATATTTATTATATGCTAAATGAACATAAAAAGAAATGTATAAGAGAAAAATTCACCAAGAAAGAGCTTGTTTGGTGTTTAAGATAAATGACTTTTAACTGCCTATATTTAAGGTTTCTTTTTCTTTCTCTTTGTACCGGTAATCATTCACTGCGACAATTGTAAAGGGGAACATAAAACCACCCTGAGATGGACTATATATAGGAGAGGTGTAAAATACTTTTTTTTGGCTAGGATGTAATATAATTTTTCATATTATGTTATTAAATGATTCCCGTTGTATAATAAGTGATGACTATTTATACTTTGATTCTTCTTGAATTTAATTAACAGTCGGATTTTAATGTTGGCTAGGTTTTCAATGATAATGATCTTTTAACATAGTATTACCGAAGACATTTAATTATGCCGCCATTAATCGATAAATATTTTAGCACATTTCCGTTTGAGAAATCAGTGTTGATATTAAGAATCATAATATAGTTATAATGCTATATTGTATCCTTCAAGAAAAGAAATATAAATACTACACTTTTAAACAAGAATTTTGAAAATGAAATTCTCAGATTAGACAAATAGATAGATATAAGCCTGAAGGACATTCAACATCTGTATGCATAAATAAGTAAGCAAGTATCCTGCTCATATTTGATCTCTTTGGCACAAAACACTAATTAGATTTGCAGCTGTTTTTAGGAAAATAAATGTGTAAATAATATTAAAAACTAATACTATAAATTATTCTGTGGCGTCAAACTTAATGCCATGCATCCAGTATTTTACAAATTCTGTATCTCTTTATCATTACATTTTTTTATTTTAATATATTGTTCTATTTTATTTTCTGTTAATGTATATTATTATTATTATTATTATTATTTTATATACTATATTATTTGTTTTAAGTTCAATATTTTTAAACATCATATTTATAAGTTTTTTCTTTTAATAAAAGAGCATATCAAATTGGAAGAGAAACATACCAGTATAGAATTTAAAATCCAGCAAAAGAAGCAATTTTAGATTGGCGTAAATTTTGAATAAACCTTTATTAATCATCAAGGCATCAAATACAAATCCTCCTTCTTTAAAAGCAAAAAACGTTTGCTAATGCCTGTGTCTGAAGTCTTCGAAACTCGGAGTTCTATTCAAAAGCCATGCCAATTTAAGATTCCCTCCCTTAATGCTAGGAAAACTGTATTTTAATCATAAAGACTCTTTTCTGTTCAAAAATTTCGTTTACAACTTCTACAAAATTTTCATATTGATTCATATGTAGTAGATGATTGAAATTTTTTTTTTTTTTTTTTACAAAAAATTCCTATTCTGTTAAATATCAAACTTCAAGGATAGTTAAGTAATAACACAGAAGGTGTTAGTTACTTACGTTCAATTATATTTCTGGAAATGCATTAATTCTAATACATTAGATTGCAGTACTGTATTTGAAATTCAGTCTGACAACGAAATGTTTTCAGTTCAGCTTTTTTATTCTTCACATTGACAATGATAATTTTTATTTAATTATACATGTACAATATTTATCGTTATCATGGTCCTGAGGAGTAATGAATTTAAATGTAAATGTTTCATCTACAAAGGAAAAAAAAAGGTAATTGAATTAGCAAGTAGTGTGTTTACTGTACATGATATGCGATAATTACAGAGCCAAAAACAACGATCAATTTTCAGAATTCTTAGAGATAAGAAAAGTTTTGTCTTCAAATACAAAGTATGTCGTAATTCTATTCACGAAACCGACAAACTGGCAGGAATTACTCCCCTAGATTTGATAGTTGAAAGGGAGGCAGCCATTGTACGGGTTACCAGGCTGGGCCAACTTCAACAATCTGGGGTCATAGTTTTCACCACTCAGATACGAGGAGCAAAACATCTGCAATAACTTTCATCCAGCAGCTTTTAATCTCTCCGACGGGTATCAGCGTAAACGACCAACCAATTCAAAGCAACAGTAATAACCTTTTCACATATGGCTCCAAAACGGAGAACCAAGCAGAGCTTCTAGCTATCAGGGCTGTAATTAGATATGCGAACACATGCCAATAGCAGAGATTCTCCACACTCAGCGATTCGGCATCAAGTCTGGCGGCTATCGCAGATCAAAATAGTCGAAGTCCTTTGGTATACTGAATTCAGAAACAGCTTCTGGCAATGCCTATCTCACAAAGACCCACTTTAAAATGGGTTTCTGCTCACACAGGGATTGAAGGCAATGAAGCCGCTGACCTACTGGCTAGCAGGCAGCGAACTGCACGGATATATTAGAAAGACCAACTATACTTCTTTGGTCTCACATTAAGCGAACAACTTTGACAAGTCTGCTACAAAATTGGCAAAGTAGATGGAAAGAGGCAAAAGGGTAGGACGAAGGACATATCGCTTACTACCAAAAGTTAACATGGAAATAAAGACCCACTGTGCTAGCCGAACACAATTCTTGACAGGTCATGGACCAGTCCCAGTATACCTCAACATAACATATTCAGACTTCTGCGAATGAGGAGAGGAAGGCGACATGGACCATTATTACTTTCAACAAACGTGAATATTATGTTTCAAATGTTCAGAACTTAAAGCAGATAACCAGGATAAATCTAGTGCCTGCAGTTATCAAACTGTAGGAATTGTTATTAGTATGTAATATTCAACCTTGTTACTTTGGAGTCTTCCCCGCCATGATGTTATATAATTCCGTTTGGTTCACGTCCGTCGTCGGAAGCCATCATAGCGGTGCACTCACTCACTCACTCACGAAACCGACAGCTTCACTAAGCTGTGATTCTGGAAGTTGTGATTCACCAAAACAATAAAAATTAAATGAAATTATTAGTACTAGGTTTTGTTTCACATTTTATTAATTAATTTTTAGTCAAGGGCCAATTTGCCATAAAGGCTATAATTCTTTTGGCATTTTGTGTGGTTCCTTTAAAGTCAATCACTTTCAAATTGTTGAACCAAATTTAGAGCCGGCATTATATTTCACGAAATTAAATAACGAAGAATCTGCATGAATGTAAGCATGTGAAAAAATAACGATACCTAGAGACATCAAATTTTGAATAACGTAGTCCTCTACTCGAATATGAAATTTGGAATTTGTTTTATTATCTATTTCCTATTTCGTAAAATTTTAACGAATTTCTGATTAACAAACTCAACGATTTCAAAGCGTACCATTAGCATTAACATCGCTGCATCTTCAAGCACGGATACTTTATGCGCGAGGTTTCTTTACATTTCTTAGTGGTATTACGTTGGTAGCGTAGCAACGCAGAGACGTTACGATGTCTAACGGTATTTTGTGTCGAATGTCTGTATCACTTTTCAAATTCCATTTTGAATCCCCCGTGAAAGAAAACGCCCCTTTAGGCGTAGTATAAAATCTGAAAGCTTTCCCAGTTTTTTTTTTTTTTTTTAAAATTTTATTTTAGCAATTTGAAGAATATTACTAACATTCTACGAACTACTAGATATTAATGCACTTTATCGGCAACAGTATGAGACTGATCAGGTAAATATACAACTGCTATAAAAGTGTACAACAGAGCTCACATTTTCTAGCTTTTATTTATGCACTAAAGGCACCCTTTAGAACTGGTGGTTTTCTGCAGACTACATTCATAAACAAAAAGAATTTGTTTAGGTAGTTTTTAATGTCAGTTTATGCTATACAGGGAGATCTGAATTACCCTATTTATTTTAATATATGCTTGACTTGATAGTCTTCCGTCTTAGTCCATTAAATCGAGAATTAACAGTTTCAAAGATAAAGTGACTCGCGAATTTAATCAGAAACATGTGCGTGCGGACATAAGACAGAATATTTATATTAATATTTGTTTTATGCAGCAAAAATTCTTATGCAATATAGAAATGGGATGAGGATTTTTTACTTACCTAACTGTCCGCACCTCTCTACCAAATCAGCCCAAACGCAAACCCTCTGTTCAGCATCGTAGGCAAGGCCTGGTGGGCACTCATATCTGGAAGCTTCACCGTTCCAACAAGAATAGAAGATTCGGCAATGCTTGTTGAGTTAGATTCATAAAGACCGAGGCCAAGGGCGGGACTATGGACGGTATGGGAAAAAGGAGTATAGTATCAGTGCAGCAGCAAACAGAGGTTTGCAGATCATATTAATTAATCTTCAAGTAAGGATATAAAAGATTTTAGAACAATGGAATTACCGAGATCTGGCCTGTCACCGCAGTTGACGCTGAATGGGTAGGCGCAGTTTTCTCTCAGAGGATCGGCATCGTCGAACACCAGACCATTGCCGCATACTTTTAGAGTTGCTGTACCATTTTCGCAGGCCCAGTATTTATCACAGCTTCTGTAGTGAGGATAGAATCCGAAGTTATCAGGACAGTCAAAGTCCTCCCTTTGACCCGGCACTAATGTAAAAAAAAAAAAAAATTATTAGTTTGGGATTATAAAATGTAATCAGAAACTCTTGATACGAATTTATACTCTGAGAAAAAGTTGAACCTTAAAAAGAGGATTAAAACATTAAAACACCTCAGAGATATGAAAACTACCTAAATTTTTTTTTACATATGAATGAATCTATAGCCAAAAACCATTTATGGTGAAACTTTACTTTTTATTATACCCAGGAATTTGTAAGAATCTTAAGAATAAATAATAGATTACTATTCAGATTTCTCATAAATTAATAGCAGTATTTAGTTAGTAATAATGAGTTTAATTACGTACTTTTTGGAACGTAGTAGAATATTGTTTTGAGCAAAGCACCAGAAATGAAGGCATACGTAATATAAAAATGCAGAAACTATAAAAAGTTTACTTATACTACTATCTTAAATTCTATTAAACATAATTTACGCTTATATTTGAATCTATTTAGCTTTAACCCCATGAGCATAATTATAAATGAATGATATACCTAATTATTTTAAAATCATTTAACCAATTTAATTCATAAGATATTTATTCATCTTGATTCTCAGAAGAGCTTTGGTACACTGATGGGCATGAAATTCAGATCGGTGGGATATACATGAAAAGATATTTCTGATGAAAATTAACATGTAATTAGATTAAAAATTTAAAAATCGTAAAGCTAACTGATTATCATAACAGCTGGTGCAGAAGTACAGTAATCTGAGTTTTAATATTAGAGAATATTCCTTCTTAGATTGCCACTACTTAAACAGATTGTTATTTAAAATTTAGAGTTGTGTTCCTGGTACCTCTAGGAGAAATTACTCTTCGAAGAAGGAAAAATATATTCTATGAAAATACATGCGGCTTATAAAAGTGCCAATCAGTAGTGAAAATATGTACAGTTTAAAAATACCTTAATTAGTTTTATTTATCGATTTTAACGTGCATAGAGATTTAAATTGCAATTTCCACTTATTTTTGCCTGCAATACTTTACTTAAATTCTTGCAATAATATTAAGTTACATTTTATTTCAGCGTTTCATTTTACAGCTTCATTATAATTTTTAAATTAAGTCTGAAGTAATTACACTTAGCTGGTGTAGACGTAGAATATAACGGTTAAAATTTGTTAACTTCTTTCCATTTGAGCTAAAAATAACTCATAGGATACTTAAATGCAGGCTAGTATCCATACGAAAATTTACCTGCAGGTTTATTACAATTTTTATATTAGGCCAGGAACAAATTTAATATTTTCAGTAGGCAATCCGGTCAGCTTGATTCCTCCTGTTTCCTGCTGTGCTGTCAATAATCTAAATCTAAATAAATCTACGTATACTCTTCAGGTTTTGAAAAGGAGTGTGGATGATCTTCTAGCAATGGTGAAAGGAAAAATAATTTGAGAATCATTGTTTTATATCATCCATATCAAATGTTTTATTTATTGCTTATTATTATAAGCACCTACTCATAGGTGTTCCAATTTTCCCACTTTATTTTAAAACGAGACTCGTTTGGCTTAGAATAATATTCATGAACGCTTGGATGCCTATTCAGGTATTGCAGTACAAAATCAAGCAAAAGAATGTAATTTATTCTCTCTCATAACCTCGAATCAGAAAAATCGCAACTAGTTTAAAGGAAAAAATAGAACTTGAGAAGTGGATCAAAACACCTCCGAGACAAAAGGACTTCAACCCGCATAAAATCCATGTCAAGATAACTATATCGGCTCTGAATATCTGAAAGTTTTGCCTGAAGGCAGTCATTTTGGTATTCCCACGAGAAGGTTAAGAAGGATGCAGCAAAAATAAATTCCTTCGTGAAGTACTTTGGACATAATGGGTTAACATCTCTCACGTAAAAGCGAAATGCATGATAAATAAATATGTACATCAGCAGAAAAAGGACCAATAACCAGTCTGCAAGATTTTGTAGAAAATTCTGAATTCGCAGGTTTTGAAGACCAGGCTGGATAAACATTCGAAATAGCATATAATTATTTTTTATTTTGCTGAACATGTCATAGTTAACATTTTTACAAAAGGCCTCTATTTTATCGCTCTAGAATCGGCAGGAGTAGGAGAAAGAACCGTGGGAACTGAGGGAAAGATGAGTTAATAGGCAATAATAATTTGATACTATATAGTTTAGTTATTAATCCAGTTGACCGTTTACGTATCCATTAACGAATTGTTTCGCATGATGTCTCTACGTACTGACAGAATTAAGGACTCTTTTTCCAAAACCGATTTTTAAAATGGATTTAAAACATATTCAAAAGGGATTTTTTTTGTAATGTGTTTACATACGTTTGTACCCACGTATCTCAGAAAACTGAAAAGACGATTAGCCGCAGAAAGTTGAAATTTTGTATATGGGACTGATAAAACATCTAGCTGTGCACCTCCCTTTTTTATTGCAATTAGCATACCAAATTAAGTATATAGTTCACCTCCCTTATCCGCAAAAATCCTTACCCGGGCCTTTACTTTCGCAACATGGTCTCATTATTACTTTCATACGGAATTCTACATAGTGAAAACAGTTCTTTTGGCATGTCATTTAAAAAAAAAGTTTTAGAAAATCGACTCTAATTTTAATGCGTCTACGGTCCTGTGCTTATATTTGAGAAGTTTATACTATTATGCAAAAAACAAAATTTGACTCTCGTACAACTAAAGCTGACCGGGACACGTAATTTCAGAATTTGCAATTTTTGATGTCATTTTCATATTGTCTGGAAGAATCAGTTAATTAAGTTATAATAATTCGAGGAAATGAGTTTAAATAAGGTAACAGAAAAGGTGTATAATTTAATAGGCTGCACAAGGAAGTTATGCGGCGTCGACATCAATTTTTTTTTAAATCTAGGTATAGAAATAAACAGAAGCTTGTTTTCAACACTGTAACTGAACACTTCATTTATATTTTAAAATAAGGGCACAATAACGAAAAAGTGTTTACATACGGATTGTTCATTTATTTACTTTGTACTTGAATGTTTAACGATTATGATGAATTAAACTGCGTATAGACAATGCATCTGCAAAGATTCAGGATTGATTGGAATAAAATGGGATATATGAAGAAACTGCTCTGATCTTTAGATTTTTACTTCGCGCAACAACTTTATCATTGTTTATACTTTTCACTCGTCTAAAATTACAGGAAAAGCTACAAACTAATAGATAAAAGCTATAAATTAACTGGACTTTAGATCTGATATTTGTACAGTTTAATTTATTTTTTGATTAGCTTGAGCAGTGACGTCAGAATGAAACCTTTCAAAAAGCTTATTTTATAATTATAACTGATTCGATACGCGAAAGATTCGCGTAGGTACATCACAAAAAATTCTGCTTTATTTTTAATTTTCCCTACGAATTCGAATCCTGTTTTGAAAAGCGTTGTATTGAAAACCTTTAACAAAAATAATCAATAATAATACCTCTAACAGTACTATTTAATATTTGATAATATTAAAAGTTTGAAAATTAAAGCAAGAAATAAAAACTATAAATTATAAAAGGTTGCGGATTGCTTTCATTTCCTTTCCAGCAAAACAAATACCTACGGAGCTCCTATACAACTCGTCGAAGATTATTGCCTTGAATGTTTTTATAAAACTCGCAAAACAAAATTTAGGAAAAATAAAAATTCAGTACAGTTTTTTAGATTTGACGTACCTCAAATTGGACATAAATATTTATTTTTGTAGAAGGAAACGCATGATGAAATAAGGAACTTTTTCTACCCATGCGTAATATGTAAACCTTAAAAATAGTTCAAGATTAGCTGTGTGGGTTAACACTTCCTATTTATAAATATAATGACACTTGCGCTGGCAATTAGTACACGGTAGTTAATAATTAATTGGTCAGCTGAAAGTTATATTTATAGATATTACGGCACGTATTTTGGCAACATTTCCTATATTGACAGAACGTATAATGAAAGATAATAGCATTAGGCCTTTAACTTTTAAAAAGAAGAACAGTTCATCTTAAAGCGAAAAACACAGACAATCCACGTAGAATGGAAATTTTAAATAAAAACATCTGATGCTAATACCACGACTTCCTTGTACATGACTTCCTATTATTTTCTGTACATTTTTTGCTGCACTTCATTTAAATTCATTTCCATGAATTATTCTAACTTAATTAACCGATCCCTCAAGGCACGTTGAAAATGATATCAAAAATTGCAAATTTTGAAATTAAATATTTCGGTCAATTTTTGTTGTATGGATGTCAAACTTCTTATAATTTTATTTTTTCATAACCAGTAAAAAAACTAAATATAAGCACAGGAAGTGGGAGGCGGTATTAAAAGGCAGGTTTCCCTATTTGTTGAAAATTAATTATTATTTTTTTTAAATTTGACTTTGCCCAAAAATGAATAGTTTCGTTATTTGAAACACTTCCATAATTGGAAGTATACACCTAAAGGCTAGGTAAGGGGTTTAAGTATATATATATTCAACCCCCTTGCAATATATACATCGTACTGCCTATTGCAATAAAAAAGAGACGCACACAATTAGATGAAGTCCCATGTACAAAACTTGGAACTTTTTACGGATAATCGTTTTCCAGTGACGCGAGATACATACGTACATAGAGACATCACGAAAAAAAAAAAAAAAAAATCCATAGTAAATCCATTTGGAGAAAAGAATCCTTTATTCTGTCTGTATCAACAGACGTCAAACTATCCCCACACCTGAAAAAAGTTCAAATGGATTTGGGAATGGTCAAAATGGATATTTCCGTTGAAATATGATACCCCGAAATTTTCGCGATTGAAATATTTCCTTTACTTCGTACAAAGAAGTAAAAACAATAAACGTCCAAATGTGGTACATCTGGTTTTTTAAACAATACTCGGTAATAAGAAGTTCGTGGAAAGTCAAATAAATCAGCCATCTAAAGATTGCAGTATTTTAAAAACAGTTTTTGTATTTATAAATGCACTTTACTA